TCCCTACCCCATGTTCCTCCGCCCCGTGCTCCTTCACTTTCACCCCCACAATCCCATCTTCCCGTATACTTCCCCTCCCTACAGTTTCCCAACACCTAACTACTACGACACTCTTCACAACCGCAGCAACTACTCAGTCCTCTCCAACTGTTCTCCTATTTATATCATTCGTTATGGACGCCATGTTCATTTCCCAGACCGTTTTGTTACCCGCGCTTTTTAAGCATCAATTCTGCCTTCGGCGTCGATTCCCGCCGCCTTCGTTCTTGCGGGGGGGGTACTGTAGGAATTCGTCGCTCAGAATCTTGCCGCCTTAATTCTTGACGCATTTTGCGTCCACACAGGCACTTGACTTCCCTCGCAAGTAGTCCCATTGCCTGACTTTTGGGCACGGTGTCGTTCCCGTTAAAATATTCCCATATCTGTTCATATTTGGTCAGTTCATCTCTATTAGCTTTCCTTCGTGTCCTCGCCTTCCCAAAATATATAAAGAAAGGATATTGGCCACTGTTAGTATTTGCTCCTATTGACTTGCGTATTTGGTCTAGCGCTGGCGCAAAGGCGCCAAGTGCGCCATTTTGATATGCTCTGTCGTAGTAAATGCACATGACAGCGCCCTCTGACTGACAGTATAATATATCATATATTTTTGCGTCCTTTGCGTTATCTTGTGCATTTGCTGCCTTGTTGCATTCGCAGTGTTGCGTTATGTCTAGGCAGGTCGGCAAAGGAACAATTAGGAGGCAGGTCACGCGAGAAATGGCCAAAATGTCGCGTGAAATTGAGGAGGAATTGACCCAATGCAGTTCTAAACGCGCGAAAGTTTATAAGGGGGCATACCAGGTCGCTCAGGTGACTGTAAAAAAGGCCGCCTCCGTACGTACGCAACAAACAAGGAAATCGTGGTCCGATCCAGCGCTGCGGTCCCAAAATGGAGCTCTGGAAACGGATGACCAAATGAAAGCCTCATTCCTCTCTGATTTCTTTCAGTCGGTATCCACCCATGAGAAAAAGTCCCTCCTTTCCTTTCTCCAGATTGATGAAATCATTTGGAAACCTTTGCACGAGAGGATGCCTTCGACCTCCCGCTTACATCGATCAGGACAAAATTACACCTCCTGAAACCTGCCAAGTCACCTGCTCCATATAGGATTCATATAAATGCGCTGAGAGAAATGGTTGACGTTTTATGTGAACCGGTGTCAATGATTTCCAAAAAGTCAATGGAAAATGGTGATCTGCCACAGGAATGGAAAACTATCCTTATCTCTTCGCTGTACAAAGGAAGTTCCAGCCTGGAATCTGAAAATTACTATCCGCTTAGTTCAACCTGCATTTTGAGCAAGGTCACGGAACGGCTTATAAGGAGGCAGTTTGTGACGGCCCTGGAGCATAGGAACTTGTTATATGCTACCCAGTATGGGTTTCGCTGTGGTATTTACTCTCAGGAAAAATGGGCAAAAGGCACAGACCCACTGATTGAGTGGCAGATAAAACAGGGTCATCCATTTGATACCATTTTGGACTTAAAGAAGGCTTTTGACGGCGTACCTCACAAGCGGCTTTTACATAACGTTTGCTTGTTAATTCTAAATAACTCCTATAATCGAAAACCCCACTACATACAGGATTTCCTCCACCCCCTTGCTCCAGTCACTATATATATATATGCATATGAAGAAGTGGATCCGACAAAGCGAAGGGAGACCGGAATGGCCATTTCTGG